AATATATAATGTACTAAAAGTATGTCAGTAGTTGCAGCAATGTATGAAGTGATGGATATTTGTAGAAAATAAGGTATAAACTGAACAGAATTTTTCAAGGCTGAGGATAATGTTGAATGACAAATATAAGGGAACTAAGGAGTAGGCAACTCTGGCTTCATATTGCATATTTACATACTTTTCATGCTCCTTTTTGAGACAAGCAGACTTCATATAAAGTGTAGAAAAGGAAAAGTTCTCAGCTGTTTCCTCTTTAAAATATCAACTCCACCCATTCACTCATTTCTCAGTCTTTTCTCTTGACTCATTCTTCTTATGTTATATAATATAGACTAGACAGACCAGACCAGAACAGACCAGACCAGACCAGACCAGAACAGAACAGAACAGAACAGAACAGACCAGAACAGAATAGAATAGAATAAACAAAGTTAGAAGGTACCTTGAAGGTCTTCTAGTCCAACCTCCTGCTCAGGTAGGAAACCCTATACCATTTCAGACAAATGGCTGTCCAATCTTTTCTTTAAAACTTCCAGTGTTGGAGAATTCACAACTTCTGGAGGCAAGTTGTTCCATCAGTTAATTGTTCTAACTGTCAGAAAATTTCTTCTTCTGCTGTTCAATGTACTCTTTTCTTGCCTGCATCTTAAGCCCTGCCACTACGTGTTGGACTTTCTTTGAGGCCTCTCTGCATAGTTTGCATCTTGGTCCTGTCTAGACTGGTAAGACTCTTGCTTGTATGGATCCGGTCCGGTTTTTGTAATGCTATGACCCAGTACCACAGTGTTGTCTTTTATTCTAGTATGACTCAGTGCTTTCTTTTAGTCCAGCCAAGTAAATATATTCTATTTAAATATATATTCTTTGCCTTCTAAATGGAAAGAGAGTTCACCTCACCTAGATCACCAAAAGCACCATAATATATATTGTTGTGCACTAGGTGAGGTCAATTCTTTCTTTCCATTAGGATGGCTAAGAAAATACCACAAAGTATTAGAATAATATAAATAATAAATACAAACAAAATAACCAAACTAATACCTTATTATAAAGTTTAAAAACCCAGTCCTTTCTCCCTGAACTTTGATTGCAAACGTGGTCAGATCTCCTCCACTGTTGCCAAACAGGTTTTATAGGAAAGAAATTAGGATGTCATTCAATAGTATATAAAGCTGAGATAGGCTGCTTTTTATTTTAAGTTTAGTGTAGGAATTTACCAGAGTGTTTGCTGATATTTACATCCTGCCCTGGTTTTATTTATTTTTTTACATTCTCTCTTTTCTTTGAAAAATTAACAAACCCTTAGTGCTTAAGAGGTAAAAAATGAATAAGCAAGAATATTTTTCCCAAAATAATTTTCCTGCCAATTTTGGTGATATGTATTTAGGGCTCTCCAAGAGCCACAAAGAACATAAGCAAGAGTTTTGAGGGAGGGACGGAATCAAATATTCACATTTACTAAATCTGCTGATGCCTAACATTCATCTAAATTGGTTCATGGAATTTTCTTAAGAATGGTCAAGTTTATTTTTCATTTATGAAATTTCTGTAACTCCAAAGGATTGAGACTTTTCCTAAACTGCCATCATCAATAGTTAAAAGTTAAATGTAGAGTTTAGAGTTGTTTATAATGTAAGACTCGTTAATAATAAAAAAGAAGAGAGAAAGGCCATTTTGAAGTTGCCAAAGGTAAAAAAGAGAGGGGGGACTCTTATTGTACAGGTGCATAATCTTCTTTTATAATCCTGGTCACCATCTAAGCAAAATCACCTTGCTATATCATTATGAACTTAATAATTTTAACAAGATTGCAAATCAGTAGAAATCTACCTGTGATATATACTTATTAACTATTAGATCTTACCCTTTTATCAATTTATCATGATAATGAAGATGCAATTTAACTAAAGGTTTTTGGTGAATCTTAAAACATAATAAATAACAGCTTTTTTGACATTTTCCATTCTGACATTTTACTGGAATTATAAAATTCCAGTAAATATCAATGGTGTCCTGACATTTACACTAACAGTGATCCCTGACTGTTTCTTTTACTCAGATACTACATTTTTATTTAAAGTTTTTAGGACTGTTCATAAATGAAAGCATACCAATATGGTGACTATAGGCACTGTCTCACATGGAAATGCTGGTGGCATCTATGGATCTTAAACTTATAATTACATAATTATTACAGATTACATGCACACATTTCAGCCTGGTCTCTGGCCAGATTACAGTACAGATTCAGCATTTATCACATTTGCTGATGATCTTTGGTGGAGCAGGAGGCAAGTGGTACATCTATCCTAGTGCTCCTTGATCTCTCGGTGGCCTTTTATACTTTTATCTACAGTACCCTTCTGGACCAGCTGCAGGGGCTGGGAGGCAAGGCACTATGCTTAGTGATTGGTTTCAGTCAGTAATAACAGGCGAGGAGAAATTTTATCCATGGAGCCTCTTACGTGAGGTTTATCAAAACTCAACACTCTGTTCAGCATCTCCCAAACACTGGGAGGATCATCTGGTACTTTGAGGTGCAGTATCTTCAGTATGTAGATGATATCCAACTTAACATTTCCATCCCAAGTTGCAGAGACGAAGCTGCCAATGTATTGACCCACTGCCTGGACACTGCAATTGTTTGCACTACTACTATAGTAACCAGATCTGCTAATCCATGGCTTTTGGGTTGTGACTAAATTATCGAGATTGATACTGTACCGTATGGAGAAGTTGTGACTGCTTACAGCATCCTATTGCACTATTAGTGGTCTTTCCTAAACATCTGCATTGTGGAATTGGTAGTATAGATTCCCCAAAGTCATACTGCTTATGGTAATAGCAATAAACTTGTATACTACTTCATAGTGCTGTACAGCCCTCTCTAAGCAGTTTACAGAGTCAGCATATTGCCCCCAACAATTTAGGTACTAATTTTACTGACCTCGGAAGGATGGAAGGCTGAGTCAACCTTGAGCCAGTTAGGATGGAACTCCTGGCTGTAGGCAGAGTTAGCTTGCAATACTGCATTCTAGGCACTGATCCATCATGGCTCTTCAAGGTAAGGTTCAGAGGTGTTTTGGATTTCATGGCCATCATTGCAAGAAAAACATTGGCTTGTCGCTTACTCATATGGGCAAACACATGTTAGATTTAAAACATGTGTGATATTACATTGCATCCTTTTCCATTGTCCACTTACTTTTAAGCTGCACAATATCACCATGCAACAACAACTGTGAAAGGGGCAAGGGGCTCAGTATGACATAAACAGTGGTGTTCTGATGCAAACCTGTATCTTTTCTATTTGTAATGTAATGTCAAGTGCATATCCCAAAGGACAGAGCTTGACACATTTTTTTCCGAGCACTGTGACATGAACAGTGAGAAATTGTTGGCCTTCTGACATTGGTAAGGATAGAAGGACAGAAGATCTATAAAAATGGCTCATTCCAGTTGCATGATCCAGGTCACTTCTTGAGTGCTGTTGGAGATTTCCCCAATAATGTGGTGGGCAGTTCTTCCACAAATCTGATTGTTGAGACACCAAGGTTGTTGGATAAAATTGTTACAGAACAGCCTCCATCAAATCATCAATCTCTTTATAAAGAGCTCTAGAAAATAAACAAGATAAGAGTTATCTAGAGCAGTGGTAGCAGAAAACAAAGAGCAGATTAGATCAATCACAGGTATGTTTCCTTGCTTGGCCTAAATTACAGTGAAGCATGCTTACTTTTCCACTTTTATTATATTATCAGGATAATTCATTCATTGTTGAAAGTTTCTTTGCAGAGAAAATAATTTATATTTGTTCAGAGATCAAAGTTTAACATAATGACTGTGTTTGACTATTTGGTTTTGCTGATCTTGTGGAAGCTGAGGAAATGGATTATCTGTTGTAGGGGGCCTCTCACATGTGATCTGGATTCATATTCTTTCTGGCTTCTTAGCTATCTGACAGAGGCAATATGTGGCTGGAATTGGAATGTGCTACTTAGCCTTGAATGAGACAGATAGGGACCTTCTCCTGGAAAAAAAATCTAGCCATTCACTTTGTTACAAATCCATCCTTTCTGGGAAAAATGCAGATAATATGAGATGGAATCAGCTACAGAGGATCCTAGATGAAGTGGATTATCTAATTTCCTGCCTTTGTAAATTAAATCCCAAAGGTGCTTTTTCAAGAGGCAACTGGACTTTCTGCTTTTTCTTTGAGAGCTTTTTTTTTTCTTCAGCTGAGAGCTGAAGAAGCTTCTTGGATGAGAAGCAAAATGTCTTCGAAGAAAAACCAGAAAGTCCAGTTGCCTCTTGAAAAAGCACCTTTGGGACATCCATGACCTGGATGACTGAGAATCTCCATAGATGTTTCTAGATTAAAATCTAAGCATTAGACAAATACAGTTCTGATTCTTCTAGTGACTATCCTAACTCAAATTCTGAAGTATGGGAATCTATCCTTTAGGCATTTGACCCACATTTGATTCCTTGGCCATCCTATATTGATGAATCACCTATCAGGGTTGGGAATCAAGTAATATTTACAGTAGCCATGCTCTTACTTTAGTGGATAGTTCCAGACTGTAGAATGCGGAAAATAGCATCTTTCGGAAACTTCACATCAAGCACACAACTTCTCCAATATTGGATACCATACCATTTGGCTGTCTCTTTTGCTATAGAAAGAGGCCATGCAAAAAGAGGCCATCCATCAATCTGAGATGAGCATCAGTTTGTTTGTTTTTAATCCTATATTATAAACCATCCCGAGTTTCAGGAAATGGGCAGTATATAGAGATGTGTGTGAATGTACACATACACACATACGTGCATACATTGGATAACTCACATTTATCCTAGAAATCAGTTAAAGTTACCTGAAATATATTTCTTCAGTTATTCTAAATAAATTTAGATCTTTGTAGTTGGAAATATATACGGAATTAGTTATACATCAGATCATACAACAAATTTGATTTTTTCCCCCCAATTTATTTCAGATTACCTACAAGGCTGTTGGATCTCTAGATCCTACTGCTGACTTGTTGAACCAGAGAGGAAAAGTCTTCAAACTAAGGAATGAAACTCACCACCTCTTTGTAGGGTTATACCCAGGAACTACCTATTCATTCACCATTAAAGCCAGCACAGTAAAGGGTTTTGGACCTCCCATCACCACACGGATTGCAACTAAAATTTCAGGTATTACTATTAAGGGGGAAACGGCATGCTGAGAAAATTCAGTTTTGACTTTGACTTTGAATCAGATAGAGGGAAAATAATTAGCATTCTGTCAAAGTTAAAGCAATTAGCATCTTGAGCTGCATTTTTTAAATGTTCCTATGGGGAAAATAATTTGTCAGATTTCTCATAAAACAGTGAGACAACCCTGTCATTTAACACTGTGCACTTTAATAAATAAGTCATAGTGGGTGGGGCTTTTTGTTTTGTTTTGTTTCCAGTTAAGCATTGCTTTTCTAAATCCATTTAATTTTAAACAGAAATTGATCTAGAATCATTCAAAACATTCCCTTCATCACTATGCTTTGTGCAATCTGCAAATGCACCTAGCAACAAAAAATGTCTATAACTGTGTTACTCTCCGCTGGACATTTCTGTAAAACATTTTCATATTCATGTAAAAAGAAATTATAAAACTGGCAGGATACGACACATTGCTTCTTTTGCTTTAATATAAATAAGGGTCAACATTTATTCATTTAGATTTAGAAATCATTAACACACAAAATTGAGATTTGAAGAAATGAGCTTGATTTCTTTGTTGACTTTACACTTTGTGCTAAAACATAATATGATTTGTTTATTTTGGGCTAAGGACAATGCCTGAAAGGGGTCTGCTCTCACAAACTGTTGCATTGCTTTAGAAACAGCGTCTTGCAGAAGACAGTAAATTAAGATGTGAAATTGGAATTGGAGCAAACAAAAAGGAACATGGAGCGAAAAATAGCAAAAAAACCAGTTCTTCCTAATTGGGTTAAAAATTCAACCAAATGTTCACTGCTACAAAAGAACAAACAGCATCAAAAAGTATTTTGTATTTGATTCCCTTCTATTGGTTGATTTACAGAAACATAAATATTTCTTTTGTTCCACAGCCCCATCAATGCCAGAATATGATACTGACACCCCTCTGAATGAAACAGAGACCACAATTACAGTCATGCTGAAGCCTGCACAGTCTCGTGGTGCGCCAGTCAGGTAATTTTTTCTCTCTCCTTGTTTAGTCTCCTTCTTTTTCAAAAATGCCATGACGTGTCATTCCATATTTCCAGATTATGAAAAGGAAGAATTATAACAAAACAAAGAAAGCTACAATAATACCACTACCTCAGGGAACCATTGTAGTAGAGAAAGATACAGAGCAAGTATCTCTAAAAAATAAATTCTGAAATTGATGGTGATTGCACTGTGGTACAAAAGACTCAAAAATCTATATTCTCTGGGCCAGGAAAGAATTCCCCAAAGGTTTCTCTGAGAGCTAATTTAGGCATTCCACTCTCTCTGGATTTCATAGCAGAATGAATGCTAGAGTCAAGCCATGTCTGCTAGTATTCATTTCCCCCTATCAAAAATTCCACATACAATATATGCACATAAAAAAGTGCTATTGAAAGTTGTGGGCAAAAAGCTGTGGATCAACTTTGAAGGAACACTCAACTTTTTTTTTTCAAGTTTTGTAGAACTAGTCTTTCAAAGCATAATTACGTAGTTATACTCTGTTTTTGAAAGTGAGAGTTGAAAAGCTACCCTTTTTAGTTTTGAGCAATAAAACTATCCCCAAGTAGTTGGTCTGTGACTTGGTCCCTATTTTGGAGGGAGGGAAGGGAGACAGAGGAACTGGTGAACTTACACAGCGCCACACTGAAAACTGTTTAAGGCAGCCATAAGATACAGCCAGTCAGATCTGCTCTGAGTTGTATTTCAGTTGTACGGGTCTTTTGGACCTGATGCAGACACCATCTGTCTTGGTTATCAAGGAACACTGTTAGTCACTTTTAGGCAAGATTGTTGATAAGGTGATAAGTTTGCAGCTTCAGAAGACTCAGGAATAAACAAATTATCTGCATTATTTTGTTTTTCTGACTTGGATATAGTACTGAGATAACATTGATCACCCTTGTAGAGTACCTTTAGTAGGTTTACTGGGATGGGGGTTATGTATCTAACCTGTTTTTCTCTATTTTTTGAGTGGTCTTCAAAACACAGCGTCCTTCTGAAGTTGCTTTGAAGTGGGGTGCACAATATTATAATTCTTTCCACCTTATTAGAGACGATTCTGGGTGATGCACAACAATCAAATTAAATCATAATATTAAAACACCATTATAAAAACTATCATTATAAAGTGCACACAATCAATATTAAAATAATTAAAAATAAAAATATACAAACCACAAATGGGGAAAAACATAGTAACCACATATTACCCACAACAAAAATATTGCCAGTTACCTGGGACTCCCCAAGCCTGATGATTTAACCAGGTCTTGAGGGACTTCCTGAACATTAAAAGGGATGGAAGTCCTTCATGGCACAGAGTCTAGAAATGTGCTTTCTTTGTTATAGTTTCTGACTTTTGGAACATCATATCCCACAAAATTTGTATGGCCTCCAAAGCCATTTCTGTAGGTCTCTATAAGGCTTTGAAAACTTGGTTTTTCATCCACTATTGGGACAAAACATTGAAATTATTTGGGAAATGCTCACTTGAAAATTGCAGTTTGGCCTCAGTTGTGTTTTATGTAGTTTTTATGCTTATCAATTATTTTTGTGTGCTTTTAATCCTATGTAAACCACCCAGCCTCAAAATTTGGAGTTAGAGAATTTTATAGGTTGGAATTGGATGGATGGATAGATGATATATATTTTTTTTATCAGTTGGTGACAATCTGAAGAAGAAAAGCAACAACATTGGAGGACTCAGTCTCTTGCATAACACGTTGCACATACATAATCAGAGCATTAGCATTCACTGATGATAGAACAGATGTACCAGAGGCAAATAGAAAGCAACAAGGGATAGCAACAGTCATGCCACTGTAGCTTTTTGCAGCCTAAAAGATGGTGAAAGGCACTCTAAATGAACACTGCAGTCTTTATCTGTTCTAACACCAGGTTATAAAATTAATGGTGTAACTGCTACAACAAGTATTTTAATTTCCTAATTGACTTAATACAAAATATGCACTCATCAGTAATAAAGCTCTTATCTTGCTTATCTAATGAAAGACACACTAATACTTGAGTTGTTAGCTATAATGGAGTTAACATAGTATATGTTTTACATCTAAAATGTTGGTTCCAGGATGCATCTAATAACCTATCCTTCAAATTTTATCTCAGCTCAATATATGCATGTTTAGGATTGGTAAATATTTGGACACTTCTTCTATGACAATAGCCCAAATATTTACAGAATTTTTATACATACCTCCACCCAAAAAAAATCATTATTTATTTTCAGCTCATAAGTAATATTATGCATTGGTCGAAATCAATATTTCACTTTCAAAGTAAAAATAGCAATAGCACTTAGACTTATAGAGTGCAGAGAAAAGCAACAAAGATGATTAGGAGCCCGGAGGCTAAAACATAGGAAGAATGGTTGAAGGAATTGGGTATGTCTTGTTTAAGAAGGACTAAGAGTGACATGATAGCAGCGTTCCAATATTTGAGGGGCTGCCACAAGGAAGAGGCTCCAAAGTACTTGAAATTAGGACAAGAAGCAATGGATGGAAACTAATCAAAGAGAGAACCAACCTATAACTAAGGAGAAATTTCCTGACAGATCAAACAATGAATTGTGGATGCTCCAACAATGGAGATTTTTAAGAGATTGGACAAATTTGTTTGAAATGGTATAGGGTTTCCTGCTTGAGAAGGGTTTTGGATTAGAAGACCTCCAAGATCCCTTCCAACTCTGTTATTCTAATCCCAAGTGATTTACTATGTATAAATCTGTAGGAATTCATATCTATCACCAGAGTATGCATTTATTATTAAGATAACAGTAGCTGTAGATCAGCTTTTCATATTTGACAGGATACTCAGTAACATTTAAACATTTCAGATTCTTAATATAAAGGAAGATATTTAATCAAGTGATTATCACTTTTCCAGTGAAATTAACAGATTTAATGTGGATAGTTTTACTTTGCCTTAGTAAATCCCACAAGATTCAAACCTCTAAAGGGAAGTGTTTATATTAGGAATATTGTTAGATATTTCACATCAGAAATATGTGTGAGCTCCAAAACTAACTTCCTCTCATTTATTTTTTAAAACAAACATTTTTCCTACTTCTGGGGAATACTTAAAAACAAAATGTATTTCCCTACTCCTTTTTTTAATGAATAAATGACAAAGTACTGGATGAAATGATGGAAAATAAATGATTATTCAGTTCTTATTTTGGAATATTAATGAAGAAAGTTTAATTTATCACTGAACTCATTTTTATTAAAACTAACATATTATGTTTGTATGTGTTTGTCAATTAGGAAACTATATATAGTGATTACTATATGCTATGTTATATATTATAACATATACATATGATTACTATATGCTATGTTATATATTATAACATATACATATGATTACTATATGCTATGTTATATATTATATATCTTTCTTTTCTAATTCTGTTCTATCTTCTGATTTAATTTTTGCTGTTTTCTTTTTTATTAGACAGTCTTAAAAACCAAAACCAAAATTAAGCTCTCCTATAAATCAATAAGTATCTTATCAAAAACTGTGTGAAAATCTTTCTGAAAACCTTGTTCCTTTAAACAATCACCTGTAAAAATAATTGAAATGTCAATGCAAATGTCTTCATACAAATACATACAAACATCCAATATGTGAGAAGTCTATTATAATGAATGTTTTTTCCCTCACACAATTAGATTCAGTTGCAAAGTCCTTTCCCCTGATTTCCCCCCAATTTGGATTTCACATGCTCTTTCATTAAATCCACTTTCTATTCATTCTATTAGGAGATCTGCAAATATTGAAACTGCTAATTGTATCCTTCCTTCCTTCCTCCCTCCCTTCCCTCCTTACACATTCAGAATCCTCCCAGTTTCTCATCATAAAAGCTTAAAGCTCAGTCATGTTTTGTATTCATTGCTTTCCCTTGTGTACATATGAAGTGACTACAATAAATTTTCAAAACATTTTTTCTATGTGGATTCTGACCAAACACATTCATTTTTAAGTCTCAAAATAGCTCTTATACCCTCTAACTTATTCATTCACTTTACCTAATATATTAATATTTTCCCCGGGATTGCATTCATTCAAAATGAATTACAGAATAACAGTCTTGGAAGGTCCTTGGAGGTCTTCTAGTCCAACCCCCTGCTTAAGTAGGAGATCCTATACCATTTCACATGGTTGTCCATTTTTTTTCTTAAAAACCTCCAGTGATGGATAACTCATAACTTCTGGAGGCAGCTCATTCCACCAATTAATTGTTTTATCTATCAGGAAATTTCTTCTTAGTTCTAGGTTGGTTCTCTTCTTGATTAGTTTCAATCCATTGTTGTATTTTTTTTTTTCAAAACACATTCTATTACTTGATTTTTCAATTTTCATTATTCACTGGAATGTAACATGCAACTATTATCAAAATACACATTTCTATTTTTCATATATACCCATAGTAACTCAGAAAACATCAATTCATACTTTCAGAGACATATTTTAGCCCTTTAATGCTTTATTAAACCCTTTCTGTCATTTTCCTTCATGTATTCATCAGCATCATTCAACATGATCAGACTATTTTCATTCAGCTCATTACATTCTCTACTTTTTCCTACTTTCCAGACATAAATTTACCTATTTTCCTTTATTTTTGTTCGTTCATTTATGTTAATAACCATTTATATCTCTTACATTCCAAGTCAAAATCTTCCCAATACTGAAAATCTGCTGAAAGATTTTAATCTTAGCTGTCAATCATAGCTTTGTTTGATTTGATAAAAAAAAACTTTCTTATTAAGAAAGGTATTCCTTATATTAGCAATTTTATCTTTTCATGTACAACATTTTTTTTCTTACAATAACAATAGCACTGGTTACCTTTGGTATGATAGCCTCCAAATTCAATTCCCACCAATTAGGAAATATATGGAGTATACTATCCCATACCAAGGATGCATCCATCAAATTAATTAAAAATGAATTATAAC